CAATCCCCATCTAAAATCATCACAGTCAGATTTATTTTGTGTGAAATTTAAAAATTTAGGGTTTTAGAAAGGCCAATTTCTTGTCTAATATCATGTATTATTACCTAACACCCACAAAAATATTCTGTAACGTGTTTGAATATTCATACTAAATAGATAATATAAACAGCCTCATAGCATTTCAGCTGAGGTTAAGTTTTCTTTTCTTTCTTTTTTTTTTTTTTTAATTTAGTTTCTTGGAAAGAAAGATTTACAGAGAAGGAGACACAGAAAGAAAGATCTTCCGGCTGCTTATTTGCTCCCTAAGTGGCTGCAACAGGTGGAGCTGAGCTGAGCTGAGCTGAATCCAGGAGCCAGGAATTTCTTCCAGGTCTCCCATGCAGGTGCAGGATGCCAAGGCTTTGGGCCATCCTTGATTGCCTTCCCAGGCCACAACCAGAGAGCTGGATGGGGAGTGGAGATTCTGAGACATGAACTGGCACCTATATGGGATCCTGCATACAAGGCGAGGATTTAGCCACAGAGCCACCATGCCAGGCTCTAAGTTTTGCTTCTGAATGAGCCCGAGTGTAAGAATGCAGTAACAAAGGAAGATTCCACCTAGGAGGAAAAAGAAGGGGGTTCTCTTCTGGAATGTCATGGAAGCCTCAATCAGTGAGATTCCACCCTGTGAAGGGACAGAGATGCAGCGAATGGACAGAAGTGGATGTCTTGGAACCCTTGGGACACCTATCCACAGGGTCTGAGAGGCCCGCTATGGGGCATAGGGAGCTATGGAGGTCTTGTCTTTCTCCAAAGAGCTGCTGCAACAGAGCTGTGCTCCAGTGTTCCCAGGGACTGAGCAGGTAGCAAGATGAGCTGGGGACCAGACACTGCCACAACTTCCCAGGCCAACCTTCAAGGGCAGCTCTTTGGCCAGGGCTTGTCTCTATTCTTGTAGTATGGTGATATAGTCACAAGTTCTGGAGATGAGGAGATGGACATCTTTTGATGTCACAATTCATGCATTGCTTAGAGCTCCCTTTGCTTCTTCCCAGTCCCCATGCCATCAACTGCATTCCTTATTCAACCCAGAAAATCAACTGAAATGGTTGAATCTCTAGTATCTTTAGTTCTCTTTTTCCTTATATCAAATCCACCTACAATCCATAATCACCTACAATTCCAAAATCTACCTTCAATGCTCTCAGAATCGGAATTTGTTCTTTCCGGATAAAATGTCCCTTTCCTTTATAATACCAACCATTCAACCTCTGCTCTAGGTAGACAGATACTTAAATTGGCTAAAAGCTATATTTATTTATGGATATAGAATAATTCAATACATGTATAAAATATGTTAGGATGGTATCAGAGTAGTTGGAGTATCTAGCGTCTCAAACATTTTTCACCTCTGCCCTCTCCAGGATTTCTCCATCAATTATTCTCTTTATATTTTCCGTATCTAATTTTCAACTACACCCTTGCCTTTAGCAATAAGTTATTTTTCCTACTAAAAAAAGAAAGGGCCTTCTGTTCTGAACAAGGTAGATTGCAGTTATTTCTCACTGGCTAAGTATAATTAAACATTCTGGATCTAACACACCCAACTATCTCAAGAAGAGTATGAAGTGTTTAAAGAGGAAAGCAAAGCAGATTTAAGCAACTACTCAGGGGTGATTTCTGTGGGCTTTCTTTAATCTCCCATATGTCCTGAGCTCAGAACTGGAGAAGCCTGTAAACCAGAAGTACCAACAGGCAAAGAAAATTGTGGTGAAAGTTGCAAACCCCAGGACCAGGAAAGGGGCATACAGCAGGATGAACACCTTGTTGACAATATTCCTCCTGCCCCAATCAAACACGATGGTTGGTCCCTTTCAGTAGTGTCAGTGCAGGACAAGTGTTGGGGGGATGGGTTTCCATGTCTGGCCTGTACATGGCATCAGATGACTCATGTGATGCCCTCCCCACCTTATCCCCCAGCACTGCAAGGTGAGACCCCTAACTACAACTGGAGGTCATGGGCAGCATTCCCCCACATGTCAGTGGAAAGGGGTTTTCCCACCACCATCAAGCAGCAAGACCCTTCACCAGTCTAATGAGAGCATGGGAGGAGGATCTTAGGGAAGAGGGAGTTAGAGAAAGGAATTCTTTATCTCTATACAGGAGCTCACTGACCAATCCACACATGCAACTGGCCTACATTAGTCAAAGGCCAGACTAGAGAACTGAACTAAAGCTTGGAGTAGCATCCAGGTTTTCAAGAGTGACTTCCAAGGAAACACAAACAATACAGATCCCAAAAGCACTGTGTGGCTCTGAAAAAGAAAGTATCAGTAAAGCCAGTGTCCACGTGCGCACTGCTGGGGCTCACCCTCCTTTTAGCTTGACTCACTGTCTATTCAAAGATTTTTAGTTGCAGTCATTTTCTGGATCTTTTCCCCCGACCCCTCTATGCGCTGAAAAGACTGAATGACTTAAAAATAGTGACTCGGCTTCTGTAAGCCTTAGTTTCATTTCATAAGAGGGTACTGCTATTTAATTTGGCCTATTGGGATAGTTAAACAAGGTGAATACTACAGGGATCCTACAAAGCAGGATGTACCAAGTAGATGTGCCCCTTTTCGTCAGTATTACCTGTTCTTGCCAATGTCCCACTTCCACAAAGGGGTCTGAAATGTCTGAAGATGAACTGTGGGATTTTTTGAGTTTTCAGCCCACTTGCTAGAGCGTTCGGGCTTCTAAAAAAGACAAAAATCATTTTTCCTGTGGTTAATGCTTTAGGGCCTTACAACTTGCCGGTTGAGGGAAACAGTCTATGCTTGGGATGATAGCACATCTGAATTCTCAGAAAGGCTTGTCGTACAATGGAGTCCTGCAACCAACCAATTACTTCATGTAATGAGAATGCCTCAGGATCTCTGGTTAGCTTCAAGTTTATGGGGTTGATTTATATCTGAAATGAAGATCGTTTCATGTCAGATCTCTTTTACTTAAAGGCAAAAATAAAGCACAATGTTATCTTGCAACAGTTACTTCTCTGATGATTATTCCTAAGACCTCCAGGGCATTTACAATAACACAGAGTCGAGCAGCTGTGTTTCACACAGTTCGGACAGGGGCAGGGGCAGAAGAGCCATTCACTCCTGTATGATTCTGACCTGGCACCTTCAGGTTTTCCTATGCTATAACCCAGGAGCAATTTCTGTCAGGTTCCAAGATGCACACAAACTTTAGCAGATGTTTTTTTCCCACCGTCTCTGTAGTAGAACTCAAACTTCCAGTTTCTCTTTAGTGGAAATGAAAAAAACAAAAGTGACCTAATAAAAGTATACTGACAAGTGTTTACGCCGTCTTTACTTCAAACACATATTAAGGAATCAGAGTCTTGTGAAAAAGATGCCAGGGCTTGCAATTAGTATTACACTGGAATTGTCACAGCTTAGCATCTTAAAAAACAAACACTGAAAGGACTTTTAACTGATTTCATGCTACACACACACACTAAAAATGCAGTTAGTGTGAAGCAAAGAAATTAAAATTGCAATGGAAGTGTTCTGGAGTAAGTGGAAAAGGCTTAATGGCCGCCTGGTCATAGAGCTAACAGCCACTCTACGCAGGAGGCTGTGAAATGGGGACGCCTCTTTCAACAGCCAGGGTGCATTTGTGGCCATTACTAGTTTGTGAAGGCCATCTACAGCTGTATTTGATTATAGGGACATTAGTTAAGTGAGACCATGAAGAACAGCTGTATTTGAAATCACACAGGCTCTCCCTGTGGCAGCCAATCAGAAATCTTGCTGACAGGCAAACTGGTATAGGATGAATGATCTTATTTAGATTAATTACTTTTAATGCTTTACACAGGCCTGCTTTCCTGGGCTGTCATGATGAGAGCAAGTCATTTCCATTCAAACCCGGAGACAGAACATGGAAGCTTGATGACTTGATAAAGCACATGACTGCACTGGCAGGGAATGTAACATGCTTAGGTCCTGGGAAAATACAGCTGGTGCAGTCAGAGTCTGCCCCAGCATTGAGTTTAGCCATGACGCTCTATGGAAAACATGCACTCAGCCAGCAAGTCATGCGGACATTAGAGTTTTAACTGTGGCTCTGTCCTTATGATTTTGGCTCTTCATTTTCTGCTCAGTAAGAGGATACATCCATATCTTTTGCCAATAAACTCTGAAATGCCCGTGGGATCTTAACCCACAGGAGTACAACACACTTACATGGCTGGGCACAATTGCTTTCCTGCCTCTACCACCAACAGGAGCAATGCACGCCTGGGCTGGCTCACTGTGTCCACAGGGACGATGAGTGAGTTAGCCTCTGCTGAGGTCAGCAGAGATGTGCAGCCAAGCACAGCCAAGATCAGCCAACTCGCAGATCTATGTGCTTCTTGCCCCAAGACTACAGTAAGCTGAAGCAGTCCCCAGGGACCCTGAGCCTTTGCGCTATCCCTTTCCTGCCTGCTGTCCACTTCCATTCTATAAACTAAGGCCTCTGGCCACTTCCAAAGATACGCGGGGACTGGGAAAGCCAGCATGAAAGATGCTCCCGACTCAAGGGTCTCAAAGTATTCTAGTTATAGAAGGGGTGGCGGACAACACTTCCACTAGTGCTGTGGGCAGGCAGAAAAGCCCTTTTCCTCAGCTATACAGCCATAAACGTGCCTTGTGACACAGGAGAAGCCAGTGCCAGAAGCAAAGTCTAAAACACACTGGACACAGTGTGTGTGAGCCAGTACCTAACCAAACTTGATTCTCTGTTGGTCTAAATCCAGACAAATAAACAAATCAGACAACAGGTTTGGAGAAAATGGAAATCTTTATTTTTAAACACTAGTATATTTTCGGGCTGTTTGAAAAAGGAAAAATCATGTTACATTAGTTCAAAAACTATGCACCAAAGCATATTTATTTAAACTCTAATTTTACAAACACATAATGAAAGAAACATATTTTATAAATATCTACTCAGAATAGGCATTATGAAAAAAAGTGTTTAAAAATAACAGCCCTAGATCTCCCTCTTTAAATATATAAAATTCCCATACAATTCATAAGAATTCTTCCTCAAGAGCCAAAAATTCCATTTCACAAGGCCAAGTAAATTCTCATCAGACACAATCAAAAGTAATACGAATATTAAAAAATGTAAAAGTTCTGTGCAAGGGAAATACAGATAGAGGACACGGATAAATCTCATTACCATACATGCCACTTTTGTTTTAAAAATATTTTATAAAAAACTGCCATTTAAAACAAATGAGAGTCCTTCCCTGACTGTGGAAAAGCAATCAGTCCTCACCCCCACGCCCTCCCTGACTAGGTGACGAGGTTCCCACCTGCTGGAGCTACCGAGCTCAGTCACCGAGCGTTTCCTGAGGAGGGGCTGGAGCCACACGTGAGGCCCACATCCTCTCTGGCAGTGCTCTGTTCTCTAGCAGGTGATTGACTATTTTTCTATCCACTTACAAAACTTCTTTGGGATCGTAGAAGACAATTACTCACAAGTGAAAGCAAGACCTGGAATGACTTCATATTGCTCTATCCAATTAAGGATACGTGCACGGTGTAATTCTGGTGACTGAATTCTGGAAGCCCAATTTACCACTGTTGGAGACACATCATCACCTACCCCAGTGAAACATGGCACAGTCCCAAGGCAGTCCTGTCATCTTTCTCCTTCTGGTCCAAGCGGCACTGCTGCCTGCAGCCGTGTACTATTGTCTCTTCTGACACTTCTTCTGGAAAGAGCTCTTCAAAAAGGTACGGTACACAGGGTCATCCACATACTCATTCTTAAACCGGGAGCTCAGTACTCTTTGTCTCTTTCTCTCACCCTGGATGATGTCCGCTCCATAAAATGTGTCTTCAAATCGCATATCAGAGGCTGTGGACTGAGAGCAGTCAGTGTTACTGGCAGAAGGACACAGCATTTGATCATCACAGGAATGGTCAGAGATCCAACTCAGTCTTCTGGGGGAAGAGGACAGAGGTGAGGATCACCCACTTAGGGAGGAAAGTCCCTCCACAAGGCTCTGGGTTCTTCCTCACCTCTCCCCACCTGCTTCATTCTAGCAGGGACAGGTGGCTTCATTTAGCTCCACTTTCTCTGGGATTTCCAACCTACTGCCTCATCTCCTACCCTCAGAAAATCCCCCCAAAAGAAAGCAAGATTAAAATCTTCTTGGCTTAAATCTCTTTACCCTCCATCTCCCCTCTAGATTCTGTCCCAGTTTTTGACAGAGTCTAGTCATCTCTAATTCACCTTTATTCCTTCTGTTTTCCCTTACCCACAAATTGAAAGATGGAGCATTAGAGAGAGGGAGAGGGGCAGGGAGAGAGAGAAAAGAAAGCAAGAGATTGGGATCTGCTCGTGTGTTCACTCCCCAATGATCACAGCATCCAAGGCTAAGCCAGAAAGAGCCAGTAGCCCCACCCTGATGCCATACGAATGGCAGGGGCCCAGACATTCAGGCCATCATCACTGTCTCTTTCCCATCAAGGATTCTTTCAGGATGAACAACATCAGGGCCTGTGTACCAAGCTTCATATTTCCACTGCCAAGTTGCATGCCTAGCACCCAGTCACTGCTGAGTGAAGGCAAGGCAACTTTTCATGTAACACTCAAGGAGAGCCCAACACTACAGCAAATCACTGCTTTTGCTTCCTATTTCCCTATGTTGGCTTCTAATTGCATTACTAACTGGTTTTCATTTACATGCATGTCTTTGATGGCATCAAAAATGGTGCACTTTACTGTGTGACCAAGACTCCCTTCCTGATTGACAACAGAAGCAGCAGTGCCCACTTTTAGGACTTGAAGATGCAAAGACGCACATGTGGTCCACAGTGAAGGAGAGAAAAAGACAAGGGCATAGCTGCAAAGAACACAGACAGCTAAAAATGGGCCTCATTGGACAGCTGTGTGTGTCCCCTGCCGGTTTGTGGGCTGAAAAAAGGCCACCTTTTATCCAGGGCAAAAAGCCACCTCCGGCGTTCCTGCACCACCTACTTTCTCTCCGGAAGAAAACTAAGAGCTGTGGGTAAGGTTGGGTACCCCCTGCCTTTGGGAGAAAACAATTTGTTTCATTCATCTTGGCAAAGTACCTCCTCCTCTAAGTAATCTTTCACTTTTATAAGTGCTAAAGTTATCAAAGGAGAAAATAAAACACCTCGGAAAGTATTGCCACTGTGCAGGAACAGCAAAAGTCAGCCTCTTGAATACAATAATAAAACCAATTTACCAGGAGCTCTAGTTAATTATGCACGTTGCTATGGTTATACTGTGAGACAATAAAAGGTAATGGTGCCGTTTCTGAAGTGAGTGGAGATGAACCAGGCACAATAACTGAGGAGGACTGCTGACTCCTTTGAAAGACTCCTCCCCCCACCCCATCAGTGCGTGTCTGGGCCTCCTGATGAGGGCTGCTAACCTACCCACTTCAAACACAAAAAGGCTGCCCTCACCATAAAATATCTTCCATCAATGAGTTTTCCAATTAGATTTGTTTCACCAACTGGAAAAAAAATAGCAGTCATGAACTGACTACCCAGGGCCACAGGTTCCACAACAAGCTGAAGGAAAAGCAGGCCAGCTACATCAAGAACACAGCGACTTCAGTGTGGTGACAAAAGAAAGAACAAGCTGGACTTACTGGCTGTGTGCCTTTGTTCCTATACATAATATTTATATTCAACTGTCTGACACAATACTGACCCTAAATGTGTTTCTGATGTGTATATTTTGGCTACTCTTTATTAAATTTTTTTTTCTGAGAATTAAAAAGTTGATACACTTGTTCAGGAAAATGTAACTTAGAAAGCTCAGGTGCATGAAGATAAAGCATGCTGATATGGAGCCAAATCTATTGTGATGCAGAAAGACTATGATCAGAGCAGAAGGCAAAGAGATGTCCTATAATGTGATTGATCAACATGATTCAAAATCTAGAGGATTCAGCAGATAGGATGCTAAGCTACACATGGATTAGCTAAACAAAGGCCCAAGACCTAAGAGGATCCCAGAAGGGCATCTACTCTATTTCTCATCCTCTAAACATCCAGGAAGCAAATAAGAAAGAGGAAGTTCATAAAAGATAAAATTATAGGATCAGAGGCAGCAGCACCAATATCTTAAATAAGAAAGTTCACCCAAGATGTCAATATCTTAAAGTGCTCACAAATGATCTAGTTTTTTGTTTTTTTTTTAAATTTCTGTTAAGGTTGCGCTATCTTTGCAATAGGAGTATTAGTTTTCTCTCTCCTTGCAGTTAGCGTCTGGTGTTAATCTCTGCCCAGATGTGTCTGGTGTTAATCTCTGCCCAGATGCGTGGGTGCCTTGTAGCAACAGTTCTCCTTGGGTGGGTGGCACTCCTACTTCTGTCATTTCCCTCCTAATCGCTCTGAAGGACTTTCTAGAGTTGGTTCACTCCTGCTGCAATGACCCTGCTCTCAGGATCCTGCCTGACACAAAAGGAACCGAGCATACAACTGAACATTTAAGAAGCTCCTTGTTTTTGAAAAAGTAGTGAAATAAATTATAGCAACTCCATCAATCTGAAAACTTAGAGCATCATTTGTTTGGAAAAAAATTTCATTTTAGTCAGAAAAACACCATTCATTCAACTTTCTCTATTTACTATTTATCATTTCATAGATGCAAGTAGATATAATTTTATTAAATGAGCAAAACTGATTTCATTTCAGGGTCCACTAGATATTTCATGATACAGTAATATGAAACTGAAATTACTGTGAATTATACTTTTTAGCAACTTCAGTTTTGGTTGTGTGTCCATGTTTATTTATATTTTAATGGCATGGACGGAGCTGAAATTGACTTTTTTTCAAACTCCTTTTGTATTTCTCCAACCATTATCTGAATTTAATTTCTTCTGTTATGAAAGAGAAAGCTTAGTTATAAACTGACATAAATGTTAGTAATTTTGGACATAGAAGTGAACCAACGTACCAAGGTTCACAAGACTTGACACAAACACCCAGATCCCTTTAATATACTATTGAATGCTTCTGTTTTATGTTGCCCCTAAAGACAATATGGTAAAGATGGAATCTTAGGACTCTACACAGAGGACTAACATGACTATTTCTCCATGCCAATAAAAGTGAATACAATGTGTCATTTGACCTCATTAGAAGACAAAGAAGTCACTTGTATTACATTCTCTGCTTCTAGCCAAATTTGAGATTTCCGCTCAAGGAATGGATCTCAATAAGGAGAAAGTTTTATTTGTTTTCTTCAAAATAAATCCAAATGTCCAAGTGTCTTTCCTGCTGGACTTGGAAGTAGAAGGGAAAGGGCAAGATGTGACCTGGCAGATCCTGAGTGGCACATGCCAGCACTTACAAAACGAGCTTTCACTCTTTTGGGTAACTCTTCATCTAGGGTGTAGAGGTCTTCTCTCTTCATCGCTATCTGGGATCCATCTTCAAATTCAACCTAATGAGACACAAGACAGATGCTATCCATTGGGAAACAAACAAGTTGTGGCCATTTTTTCTTTAAGAGTGCCAATTAATTCCCTAAGAACAGAAAAAAAAAACAAGAGAACCTACCAATAATCATCTTAGTCTAATCAAACCAGAAACAAAGGACTCAAGACAGAGCAAATGAATGTTTTGGTAGATATGAAAACCTTGTTCTCCAAAGCAAAAACAGAAAAGTGGTTACTGAAATGATTTCTTGGAATATGGTTTTGCGACAAGTTTAGCAAGCAGATAGTCTAGGTCCATTAGCCCCACTTGTTTGAATTTTTAAGAAGCGACAGCTTAAAAGAAAAAACTGGACCTCTTTGAAAAAGAGATTTACTCCCATATAAAAAAAGGTTTGCTCCCATATAATAATTTCTCCAGATGAATTTTTTTTCACGTTACACAATTTAAATTTTCAAAGCTCAGTTTTGTCAAGTTAGGGCAGAAAAGCATAAGTTCCTCATTTTCATAACATGTAATCACATCAGTGTGTGCAAATTACATCAACTAAAGTGAAAAACCTTAAAATTATTTTGCTATCAACAAAACAGCAACAAATAATCTTCTAATGATTTCTTTAAAGTATTTTAGGAAATTTTGTCAGAGGAAAAGGTTATGATACTGGGCAACAGATTTTGACAGCAGGTGAGTTTAGGTTTGTTTAACACAAGCACTATTAAAAAAAAAAAAGGAAAGTGGCCAGGCAGAATACCTAATTCAATTCAAAACTACTATGATAAGTTTTCAGTCCTTAACTTTTTTTGTTTGAATGCTTTAAGAAATGAAATGATGGGGCAGGCTGCAGTGTGCACGTTGTGCCTGTAGCGCCAGCATCCCATACAGGCATGTTTGTGTCCTGGCTGCTCCACTGTTCAGGCCTGGGAAAAGCTCTGTAAGCCATGAGAGAGATTCAGATGAAAGTAACGGGTCATAACTCAGCCTGGTCTAGCACTGGTCACTGCAGGCATATGAGGGGATGAATCAGAAGATGGACGATCTCTCCCCTAACTCATTTAAATAATTTTTTTTTAAAAATGAAAATACCCTTGCATTTCTTATTAGGGTTAGCCAAACAATGCAGTTGTGCTATTTTTTTTTCATCCGGTAGATGTTGAAAAAAAATATTAAAATAAAGCTAAAATATAAACTTAAACTTCTGGGGCAAACTTTTAAACAACAGTCAAGACATCGTTGAGAACATTCACATCTTATTTTAGAGTGCCTGGGTTTAGGTCCCTGTAACCACTTCCAATTCCAGCTTCCTGAAAGCGTGCACGTGGAAGCAGAGGTGATGGCTGAAATAGTAGGGTTCTTGACACTCATGTGCAAGAATGGAACTTATATTCTAGTTTGGTTTTGTCTTGGGCCAGTCTAAACAATTGCAGGCATTTTGGGAGCGAACCAACAGATGGAAGACAGCTCTTTCTCTACCTCCCAAACGCAATAAATAAAAATTTTGATAAGATAAAATTAAACTTGCTACCCACTGGTAACATTTGGCAAAACTGAAAAATAGATTTACATCTTAGTCACAGGAAAACTCTTACTCCTCTCAGAATATTCAAGGTTGGAAGGATTTTTCTTTTTCTTTTTAGAAGGGGTGGACCAGGCAGAAGCCAGGAGCCAGGGCCTTCTTCTGGTCTCCCACTCAGATGAGGGGGCACCAAGCACTTGGTCTATCTTCTGCTGCTTTCCCAGGCACATTAACAGAGAGCTGGATCAGAAAGAGAGGTGCCAGGATGCCAGTGCTGCAAGCATGTTTTCTTACTTGATAGGTCTTAGCAGGATGACTGAATAGTTAATTAGCCCGAGCTGTCACTTCATTTACTCAGATTTACAGCATAGCTAGAACTACCATGCCTACTGTCTTTTGTTCTAGAAAAAGGAAAAGGCAATCATCAACCAGAGTATGCTGTGCTAGGACTGGAGTGACCTACGGAGAGGCAATTCTTTCAGTATCACAATCAAGGCAGCCCTTCACTGGGACACATCTGAGTAAGCACCGCTCACTCTCTTTACTATCTTTGAACAAACTATTTTTTTCCCCAACAAACATATTGACTGATCTATTCTGTCATTTGTAAAATGAAAGTCAGTAACACCTACTTTGAAGGAGTACTGTGAGGGTCAAAATGCACACATTTAGGACACTTAGCATTATGTAATGCCTATTTGCTGTTTTAGTTTTTATAAATGTCTTTACTGATTTAATGGTGAATTTGAATAATTAGACATAAAACATAAAATGATCTCAAAATGCCACTTGGTTTAACAAGGATATTTAAATTACTCATGTTTAAGAGACAATTTTAATATTAGTCTTAACTTTTCATTGAGTCTATAAATATGCCCACAGTTTTATGATGATAGGCCATGACAAATTCAACTGAAGTTAACACTCTGATTACTAATTAGCCTGAATTTCAACAGACCCTCATTATGCAATTTTATTTTTTTAGTAGAAAATGGCTTTCCTACATACAGGAAGCTTCACTTTCATACTTTTTATTTCATTAAATATAATTATTTTGTCTTAAATAATGTAGCAATGCTTCTTTTCTGGGAATCCCCAGTACTACCAGCCTGCTTTGTGATTTTTGCCTAATTCTTGACATTCTGACACAAATACAGGTCAACCACTTACTCTAATATAAACAATCCAAACTCGCCACTACTGCTAAAACTTTATACAAAGGAAAACAATCTTTACACACACTCTCTTCACACACACACACACACACACACACACACACACACACACAGAGGTAATTTCCCTTAGATTTTTCTAGACCATGAAAAATGTTCTCTCCTAAGTTTTTCAAACTTCTTTGAACTCCTTTAATTATACTGTGCTGCAGTTCCTGATGCAGCATCTTATAACGTTCTCTTCCATTTAAGCCAGCAGTCCTTATCAGTCTTCCCACCATTTCTCTGCTGAAAATGGCAGTTTTATCATTCTCAAGCTGTTTTTCAACTTAACAGGCCTGGACCTTCTTGCTTTTTCTCATTTTACTTCAATCTTCCTGTTTCCACTCCACTATTTAGTTTTAGGATGTTGATTTCGGCCACAGCATGACTGAAAACACTACCATGTATTAGCCTTAATACATATGTCCTTTTCCAAAAGCCTTTATAAGTAAATATAAATGTGCACACGCTGCTGCTTCCCTTATTAAACTCATTCTTATTTCTAGTATGAATGAAATAATTTCATTTTCCAATTATATGCATGCTCCTCAATGCCAGATAAAATCAACTCCGCAGTGAACAGAATGAGAGCAGGATGTCTGAACACCATGACACTGACTACCCACATCTGTACCAGTGTCCCTAAGTGTGGATTTGCTGAGATACCTGGTAGGGTTATATATTTCTGGCAAAAGCCACTATTTTGGCTGCTGGCTGATGAACAGCCATCACTATCTTGGCTTAAGGTAGGAAATCTAGGAAAGCGGCCTATCGTTTCTTATGTCCAAAACGTACTAACAATTAAACATTTCATCAAATGTTATTAAGCTTTCCCAGTGTCCAACTTGGCAATAAAACCCCAAAGCCTGGGTCATTAGACAGTGTCCCTTTCAGAAAGCACATGGCATTCAACGTTCAGGTAGCTGATCAACAGCACACTCAGTGTCTGTCTCCCTCGGCTCCTCCTGCCCAACTCGGCAAGCATCAGAGAGAGCACTCACCTGGTACATATGGGCAACATTTGACCCAAGATATTTCGCCCCGTAGAGTTTGCCATCAGGCCACTTGACTTGGACAACTTCTCCCTCAGCAGGAGGACCCATCCTCACACAGTCCCGGCTCTGTGGAATAAACAAGATAGAATTTTCAAGGAAAGTGCCTAAGTGACTGCATTTAGAACTTGGCAAATGATGAACTCCTGGCAATTAGAAAGAGTTAATGCCTCTGTGTTTTATGCATTATGATCTTGCATGGGTGTTCAGGGGAAAAGATACGAGCCAAAAGAGTACTTAAAGATTCAGTCTGCATCATAAAGTTGTGAAGGAACCACCATAATCCAAGCAGGAAAAAAACTGAAGCATTTACATTTGCTATTTGACAAAGAATTGTTCAGGGGGTAACTAAAATATGCATTGAAATTGCTTTAGCTGAGGAATAGAGCAGCTAATGATTTATAACACCTGACATTTATATGGCATTTTTCAGTAAATGAAATGCTTTAGCACACATCTCACTGGATCCTTACATTCACTCCATGAAGTAAGTCGAGATTCGTCACTAGCCCCATTATACTGAAAAGGAAACTGAGCCTCAGAGGAGGCTCTCTCCAGTCAGAAGGCTCTCTGAAGAGCAAAGCTAAAGCAGGAGAGAGACGAGGACATCCGGGTGGGAGAAGAGGAGGGAAGCAGCAGAGTGCCACTGAAGCTGGTAGGATGTGCAAAAAGCAGCAGTGACAGACAAGCAGGTGTACTGGAAGGAGCACGTTAAGCTGAGTAGGTCATCCTGCCTAGTTAACCTCAAGACTGCTGCACCTCCCCATGTAGGCACTCAGCTGCTGGCATGTGCCACAGAGTGCCCACCTTACTTCCATACACCCTCTTTTGTGGCATCCATAACTCAATAGTCCTCTCATTTAATGCGTTTTAGGAAGGCAGAAATTCACAGCACACATCGTTTTTTTTTTTTTAATGGTGGTAGGATAATGGAAGTGCAGGTAAAATCTAAAAACTTTGCACAGATGGTTTGTAAAAATTTGTAAAAAAAAATTTTTTACAAATTTTTACAAATATGACACAATACAATTCTAACACAAAGGAATTAAATTCTTGACTATGTTGTTAAATTTTTTTGAATGTTTAGCAATTCATGATTTGCTAATACTGGCATTCTACTGATGAGGCCAATCTGACTGATTGAAATGCACACTTGACCAATCAAGCTATAAATGCAGCCTGGAACATTCTGATGTTTGAATGAGAGGCACACACAGAGGAAATATTCAGTTTTTTATGACTTGAAATCCACCATGTATTACTTTTTATTATTAATAGAAGTTCTGCATTATAAAGGAGCGGCCATTTTATTGTTTGTTTAGAAGTATACATGAATAAACCCGCTGTTCATTTTTCTAACCGTGGACTATTTTTCTACTTAGAGCTATGGCCAAAGAAAACATTCATGTGTTCAGAAGCACTGTAGAACTGACATTTTGCATCTATTTCAGCCAAAAGTCAAATGAAACAAGTTTATCCTTCGCCTTCATAATATCTGACCTCAGGGAATGCAGAGCTGAACCGACAGGCGGTAGAAGTGTAACCTGCCAACACCCACGGGGTTTAATCACCTCACCTTCTAGCTCTTTTCGAAGATGTGGGATCCTTGATGAGGGAAGGAATACCTTCTAAGTACATACTGTACACATGAGTTGGAAGGCCTATTAGCTCTGCATGTTACTTGGATCCACAACCCAAATGCTCTGGCCATGGAGCTGTTGGGTATGTTAAGGGGTACAATATGGTGCTTCCCTCTGTCAAAGTTTTCTTCTATGTGGAGAGCTCTGCCAGGGCAACCTCTCAGGTTTTTTTTTTTTTTTAACACCTTTAAGTTTCTCTAAAAAGGACTACAGAAATGACCTTAATTTTATTCCTGAATTCTGAAGGAGACCGTTTCCCTAAATGATATGCCACTGTACCTCGTAGCACCATGGCAAATTCACAGGAGGTTACTGCAGTTTACCTTTAAATCATTTGCACCTAGTACTGTTAGAAACCACTTATCTTCACATTGGGGCACTATAAGATATTAAGAGCACTGGGCCCAGTGGGGCAGCCTCGTAGCTGAGTCTTCGCCTTGCAACAACCAGGTTCTTATTTGGGCATTGGTTCATGTCCCAGATTCCTCACTTCCCATCAAGCTCCTTGGTTGTTGCCTGGAGAAGCAGTAGAGAACGGCCCAATGCCTTGGGAACCTGCACCTGCATGCGAGACCCAGAAGAAGCTCCTGGCTTCGAATTAGTTCAGCTCCAGCCATGGGAGCCACTTGGAGAATGAACCAGCTGATGAATCTTGCCACCTGTCTCTCCTTCTCTCTGTCAATCTGCCCTTTCAATAAAATAATGCGTCAGTAGTACGTCAGGGGACTATCAGGAATTATATTCTCCATTTATTTTTAGGGGGAAAAGTCAAAGCATTCCTTTATAACTTAAGTCTAATTTTATAGATTCAACTTCCAGTATAAGCTTAGTAAGTTTTAGAATGTAGCTTTCCCAAACAAATCCTAACCAGCAATTTTAGTGCCATACTACCAAGGTGAAGTAACGGTCATACAAACGTGGCCTAAACAGTACAATAAGTACTTGATTGAATTACCATAAAAATATGGCTTTATCAATAACTGAATATTTGTAGTATTACCAACAGACAAGCAGTTTTTATTTAAAAAAGAAGCAATGGGGCCATAGCGTAGCAAACTAAACCTTCACCTGTGGTGCTAACATGCCCTATGGGCGTCAGAAGCTCCACTTCAGACACAGATCCCTGCTAACGGCCTGGGAAGGCAGCAGGGGAGGGTGCCGAGTCCTTGGTTGCATGTACCCATGTGGGAGACCTGGAAGAAGCTCCTGGCATCAGATTGGTTCAACACTAGCCATTGAAGCCACTTTGGGAGTGAACCAGCAGAAGGAAGATCTCTCTTTTGCTCTGTGCCTCTCCTTCTTTCTAACTCTGCCTTTCAAATAAAAATATTCTAAAAATTTAAAAAAAATCTGAGATGCATTTTCATATTTCTCATTAGATGTCAAATGACACACTACTGATGATAAATCTAAACTTGGCATTGAAAGATCTGACCTCAAGTAACTTCTTGTAACTTAGACACCACCAACGTTGCTCTGTACTAGCCATGAACATCAAATTCAGAAACTCTCACATCTGACCTTAGGAAACACATTTCAGTTTGTTTTCTCAGTCTTTTTGCTCTCAGAACTCTTCTCTTACTCATAAAAAAAAAAAAAAGACAAATAGCCAACTACACAGTAAAATAAATTATCCTGTGAATTCCTACTTAATCAATCACATGGCATTGTTCTCAGGCAGAGTGGCTACCTTCCCAGGTCATTTAGATAGAAGTGGATATTTCATACAAGTTTACTTAGTATGCATAACTCATTATTCACTTCCAAGCTATATTCCAAATAGCTTTAAAGCAGTTTACAGGAAAAACAAAAACTATCAATTTATGAGTTGTCGTACATTTTGAGTTTGCCAGAAACTCTTTAAGACCAAGTGGAATATAAAGTATTTAAACAGAAATGGAGGTAGGAGCATGAGCAGTAATGAAATGGAGTTGGCACTTTGATATTTAGGCTTCCCCGATCCTACCAAGTGGAAGCTTCTGAGTCGCTACGTAAGTTGGGTGACCCCCAAATTCCCAACTGCTAATTAAGTAACTGTTTAGTGGCCATTTACCATGTGTGAGACATTGGAGGCAATAACCCACAGCTGACCACACTAGAGCCAGAAGGTATCCTGCTCACATTTGGAGACCAGCTCCGTGAGGCAGGGACTCAAGGGTTCTTGCAAACACTGGGTTTATGTTGAGTACATCTGCACCAACTCAGTCAATTCAACCAGAGCAGAACCCAGATTTGGTTTGTAGATTGGGTTTCTAAGTAGCATTTCATTTTGGGGAAAAATGTTGCTTTTGACACAAAAGTTTAGGAAAGGAGAGGATTTAGTTTGCGCAGTTTTAATGCTATGTCTTCTAAGGCCTCTTGAGGTTCCTGTATCTCTGGGTCTGTCCACAAGAGCCATGGCCTATTATCTCACCATAGGATCCCAGTACAGAGGGGGCAAGATTGAAATATAAAGATGCTCAGCCTTCCACAGCTCTGTTATGGGAATTTCAGGTCAGTTATTTGAAAGAATGCAAAATATTGAAGAAGTCTTTCTTAATACAGTGCTTAGTGTGTTACTGGAGCAGGTAAATACCTTTGCTGGAAAGTTACATGCATCAAGACTGTGACTAATGCATTATTCTCAGCTGCTGTCTGGACCCTGCGAAACAGGGCTGAACATTCACCTGACATAAATAGCTTTTTGCCATTTACTGTACTGCATCAAGGGGTGTGTAAACTTGCCTAAAATCTAACAGGGACACTGGTGTCTAGAGCTGCCAGCAAGACTGTAGGTCCAGCACTAAGTTGATGATGTAAAAATTAAAGGCAGAAATAATACTCACTGATAAGAAGAAGGGACTTCTGCCCATGATAGCCACTTAAAAGTAAGATTGAATCATCAATTCAGGCCAAGAGAACTATGTCATATTACAGCCCTAGAGTCTTGTGCTCCCTCCACTAACAAGTAAAGCCCACTCGCCAGTGTGAATATCTGAATTCTAAAATTACTTTTCTTGAACTCTTACTGGGTTCAACAAAGGGACAAATGGGACCAATAAAGCTGCTCTCAAATTTTACCTAATTATCATCATATCCCATGCTGTACACTTTATATGTATGAGCCACAGAGCTGGAAGCCCCATCTCTATCAGCCCATCCATTCCAGATGGACACGGCACATGAATTTCTAGTAGTTCAAGGGCAGATAGTTTGGTACCTCTGATGGTCCACCTCAGGGAAAAAGCTTAAGTGACCTGCAGCGCAATGATGTCAGCAGCTGAAACCAGTCTGAGATAATCACCCACTCATTACTGGACTCCGGCAGGGATTAACAAGACTGACTGACAGCTATGCGATAATCACAGTGGCTATCAGTCATGGGTCTGTCAGCCCAGCATCTGAACTCCCTTCTTCCTTCAGCATCTCAGTGGGAGACAGAGCTGGCCT